TATATATATATATATATATATATATATATATATATATATATATATATATATTGAACGAAACTGCTGACTGTGTAATAGATTTGCGATAAAAGGCGTATTTTCAATTCCCATTGCTATTAGCAAAGTAATATTATTGAATTTAAAAGTGAAAGTCAGTATTTAGTTTCTTTTAAAAATAAAATATTGAATTACTTATATAAATTGTGAAACTACTTTTGGTGCTAGTTTTTATTGAAAGTATATTTAAGCATGTACTCCAGCTACAGCATCTCTATAATATATTTCTTAAAGTTTTATTTGTTTTCCAGAAATGAGAATGCTTCTTCTTTGTATTGCAAAAAGCATTTATTTTATCACATTGAAAAATATTCATGTTAAATCTAAGTAGAAACTACAAGATTTTTATTTGAATATCATCTAGGAATGTAGTGTAGCTGATAAACTACCAGACTACATAACTTGTCGCATCTAATTTGATTTTACATTTTGTAATCATTTTTATGGAGCATATTTCTATGAGAGTTTTGGTTTTTTAATGATATGAAACGTTGAATGTTTTATCGCTTGAAAATTTCATTCATTATTCTCGTCCATTCAAACCGTTACCAAAGTGCTGTTCAAGGAGTCTCTGCTTGATTAAGTGCTGTTGTTGTTGTTGGTTGTTGTTATAGTTGTTGTTGCTTTCAATGTTGGCATTGAGTTCAATGTTTATTAACCGCCCTCCTTAGTGCAACTCAAGTCGCGCACTTTGACATTTTCATGTCGCAAAGCAATTTGTTGTAGTGGCTGTTGTTATTGTTGTTGTTGTTGCTCTTGTTGGTGGTTTTATTGTAGTTGTTGCTATTGTTAGTGTTATTGTTATTTTTATGGTTGTTGCCCGCTTTGTGAACCACACGCGTCACCTCAATGAGCGCAAAGTGGCATGGCCAGAGAGCCGAGCGCCGAGAGCCGACAGTCGAGAGCGAAGCAGCACCCCAGCCCCAGCCTCAGCCCCTGGCACTGGCACTGGCCGCCCCTTTCCTCCCACTGTTTAATTTTCGCATTTTCCGTTGCGCGTTTTCATCTTTGATTGACATACAAACAATTTAGCTGAATGGCACTTGAGGCGGCCAGAGCCGCAACAATGAAACCACCCCCTGACCGCAGTAATATTTTTATTTTTTTGATATTTTGTATTTATGGCAGCCTCAGCGTCAGCCTCAACTGAAGACACGGACGCGGACTGAGACTTGATGTAGTGCCCACTAGAGATGTGGGACTGCTGCTGGTGACAACTGCAAAAACTGTTTGCCCAAGTGCTAAATGGAAACTTCCTGCAGCAAATTAACGGCCAGCGCCTGAGAGATGGGGGAAGATGAGGTCCGACCACCAGCGTTGATTTTTTCCTTCTTTCTTTCTTTTTTGCATCTCGCGGACGCTGCATCTCCGAATCAATCAACTCAAGTGTCAGTGGTGCTGTATTTGGATATAGATGTGGTGGACGTGCCTGTGTGTGTGTGTGTGTGTGGTCCACTATCAAAGAGCGGGACCGCCGCCCAAATGCATTTGTTGTAAGTGGCTGGGTCTATGCAGAGACCGCCACCGCCGTCGTCGTCGACTCTCCGCGTACACAGGTGAAATTTACCACTTCGATGGCTAAAAACAACATTTGAATGCGACATTCGAGCACGGCCAACACGATACTGAACGGATGTTTACGCGCGTGTGTGTGTGTGTGTGTGTGTGTGTGTGTGTGTGTCGGTGTGTAAACAGCAAAACGAGGGATCGGCTCGGACTGCGTCCAAGCGGACCAGTCGGCACCGCTCGAATCGGATCGGCATGGATCGAATGGGCCAGTGATTTACCTTTACCTGCCGATGCTGATCGATGAATCGGCAACGTCATATCGCATATGAATATGTATAATGTCTGTCTATGGGCCAAGTTCGGTCGGTGCCTTTGGCCTTAGACTTGCCGCTCTGTCAATATTTTGCTTATGTTCGAAGCCCGGCCGAAACGATGACTCCCATTACCTGTCCAATGCCAAAAAAATAAACCTTTATTGCGGCCCTTGGGCGCTGTGGTAGGTGCGCTCAAGTGCCAAGTCTGGGAGACAATTTTCCCGTCAAGTGCTCGCCGGACAGCAGCTTTGAAGTGCAGCGACATTCAAAACTTTCCGCCTCGAGTGCTCGAGTACGGGTACTCGTGCTCACAGGTGACAGGGTCAGCATTGAGGTCGTAATTTAGCTGCCAATTAACTGTAAAGGTTTTTCAATTAGAAAGTGCTACATACATTACTTGACTGCTCGTTCGATACTTCATTTCCTCCTCAAACTAAACTTTTTTCCTTCTCTTTGGCTCAAGGACGTAATGAGGAAAACTCCTAGGTCCCCTCATGAAAGACAGAGTTAAAAAAAAAAACCAGCATGCTTTCCATTGATAACTTCAGACTTCAGTTGTTCCTTTAACACTCACAGATCAATGGTCCATTTAACTTTCTGGATTGTGAATGACTGAAGTTTATTACACTCTCGTTATGTTTACCTGTATTCCATTATTAATATTTATGATTGTGTACAAAGGAAATAAAAGTATACCAACAGAGCATGTAATATCAATTTCCATTCGGATTGGAAATGCTTTCCTTTGACTGCACATGTCAGTGGCATAATTCACACAGAGTAAAAACCTTTTGGATATGAAAAAAAAGTCGAAATACACAGTGAATGAAAAATGTTGAATATTAAATTTGGCCAGGACTTTAACTCAGTATCAATGTGCCATGTCAGCAGCAAAAGTCATGAGCATATTGCTAATCGCATGCTTGGCCAGAGAAATAACCAGGTAGATAAATTGGCCAAATTGATTACGTAGCCATCTCACCTGATTAGCACCTTGCGAATGGGCTCCACATTTCAAGTTTGACTGCAGATGTTCAAAAATTAGCAAAGCAGCCAACTGAGAAAGTGCCAGAGTTTTCAGCACTGTGTGTGTGTGTGTGTGTGTGTGTGTGTGTACGCATTTGCATTTGTATCAGATTATGAGCCACAAACATTTTCGGCCATGTTTGTTTACTTAGCTCCGCCTCGTCGGCTACACAATGTGCGTTCGTCTGTCTCTCTGCGTGCGTGTGCGTGTGTGTGTGTGTGTGAGCGTGTAGCTGTCTGCCCGTGTATGTGTGTCTGTATGCCTCTGCTTCTGCCTCTGCCTGTGGCTGTGGCTGTGGCTGTGTGCGAGAGCGTGAGCGAGCGTCTGTGTTGTCTGTGCCCGCATCTATCTCTGTTTAAGTGTGCGCGCGTGTGTATGGTGTGTGTGTGTGTGTGCCTACCTACATAAGTGTGTATCTCAGGCGCATCAAAAGTCGCTCTTGCGCATGTCTTCTGCGCTGGCTGTTCGAGCAGTTTGCATGCGTCTCCAACAGGCGCGTCTGCTAACTCGTCGAGCGGCCCTCGCTAACGCCATTTTAACAAACGCTCATTGAACGAAAATCAATTTGTTGCAGCTTAAAATAGGCTAACCAAATGCCAAACGCTTCAATAATAAATACTAAATATTTAAATAAAATATATGACAATAGATAGTAGAGCTCTAAGATACGAATTAATATTCAATGGATATTAAAATAATAAAGTCATGCTCTTATAAAGCACAATATGAGCGTAAAATGATATTTATGCATTCTCCCAGAGCCATAAAATAAAATATATTTTTAAATTGTTGGATATTTAAATAACATAATTTAAACTGCACGATAATAGATATTTAATTATCATTGAGTTCAGGGTATATTACAAGTCAAGTTAGTTTACTGAGTAGGGAATATCATATTATGTCAAATTTTATGTTTACCTTACAGATATAAAAAAAAAAAAATTACTGCACTCTAAATCGAAAATTCTTTGTTAATTTTAAGTAAATATATTATTTTATTATTTATCTACATACTTATATAAACGTATGTAAATATGAGATATTTAGTTACAATATATTAGTTTTATATGTATGTACATATATATGTATATATAGTAAGGCTCGACTAAAGTCTGGTAATTTAATTGTGCCTCTCAATCGACTAACTTAAAGCAAACCAGCTGCAACTTTAAGCAAAGAAAGGCCCCCAGCTCTCTGGCTCTGGCTCTGGCTCTTGTCTAGAGAAAGGCTGGGGATGGCGGCGGGTTGGGAGTGCCTGCACCAGGATCCTAATTACATTTTACTAGATAAATTGTAAACTTTTTCTGTGCGCGTTGCTGCCGTTGCAGCAGTAGCAGCAGCAGCAGCAGCAGCTTCTTCCAACTGTTATATTTTGTTTGAGTTCCCTGCGCTGGCGTCGCCGTCGCCGTCTCCGTCGCTGCTGTCGCTGGCGTCGCTGGCGTCGCTTTCGTCTTCTGACGCTGCTGAGCAAACAAACGCACAGCCGAGCAGATGGGCAGGGAGTGGCTCATCCTGCCAGAGCACCCTGTATGCCCTGTATACCCTGTCAAGCCGAACGTGCTGCGTTTGTAAGCATATTTCCGGCAACGGATGTCTGCAGCAGCAGCTGGAATCGTGGCAGCGGCAGCGGAGGCAACAGCGGCGGCAACTGTTGGCTCCGGCCAAACGAGCTGCAGTCAAACCTGGCCCTGGTCCTGCGTCTGCTCCTGGCCCGGATCGTCCTCAGCCAGATACGAGCAGAAAGTCAGTCAGTGCCGGTTACACATTTTCAAAAGTGCTTGGCTCTAGCTACATCCACAGCCACATCCACATCCACATCCACATCCACAGCTACAGCTGCAGCTCACTGCCATTAGTCGGCCGTCAAGTGGGGGGCAGCGTTGGCAATGGGAGATTGGGGCTCCTGCGCCTGGTCGGCAACTCTGTTGCACTTCAAGCTGGCATGCGTGCGCTAGTATGTGTGTGTGTGTGTGAGTGTGAGTGTGTGTAGTTTTGCGCAAATATTTGCATCTGGAATATTTGCGCGCTCCATCATAATTCAAACACAGATGCGCTGTTTGTAGAAGAGCAATCATTTTGACATGCAACTCGCTTCAAAACCGAATTAAGTGGCATTCAGTGTCAGCCAGCAGGACTCGCAGCTCGACCAAGTGCCGCAGTGCCCCGAGTCTAAGCGAAACCCAAGCGCACGGCCTCAATTGACGCTGATTGACGCGCACGCAGCTGCCAAAGGTGGCAATTAAAATTATTAACAAAATGAAAATGTATGAAAAGGTTATACCACGATATTTTATAGATGATTCAAAAATATGGACTTGGCATAATTGAAGCCAAACATTTTGTACTCTTATACATATCTTAACAGAAGACTCTTCTGTATATTATATTTCAAATACTAATTGCCGTAAGTATAATATTCATCTGTATAAGACATTTGGCGCTGCACCAGTCGGCTTGAATCTTTGCTAAAAAGCTTTAAACTTGCGTCTTAACCCAAGGACGAAACCCAAAGTATTGGTTAGTAAACTGACTACAAATTCCCCGAGTTGCGGTATCATCTATAAATTGTAACCGTTTAGGGTGATTGCCTCGACTAAGGTTCCAGCACTCGCTTGTCAACGATAGTCTATCGGAATCTGCAATGAGAAAACTGGTTTACTTAGTTTATTTAGTTAGAGTGAAAATAATTATATACAAAGTCAATATAGGCTTTAAAAAAATTTAAAGATGTTATTTTACTTACGACTAATTACAACATCATGCCTTTGACTAGCTCAGCTGATAAAAATAGTCAGTGGTAAAATGTTTCATTTTTGGCTTTAATGATTACGGTCACACTTATAAAGAGCATCTGCTTTGGTGACACAGTGTGTTTAATTACACAATAACTATAATATTTTAAAAGAAACCAATGAGTATAAGATATAAAGTGCAAATATAAGTTAACAAAAATCGTAAAATGTTTAGAGCTGGCTGTATTTTTCGAATGGGCAGCACGCTACGGCAGCGCCAACTTCATACCGGCGTTACACGACTTAAGCGCCGCAAGACAGCTGAGGAGAAGGTAGGACAGTTATGGTAAAAAAAAGGTGACGCAGAGAGCAATGAGCATAAAACGTCATGACGTTACAAGCTGTCAATGAAGACAGTAATGTGCAATGAGAAAACGGATAGTTTTCTAGAAAGCTGATGCTATTTCCAGCGTCACCTTTTCATTCGCATCTCTAATGAGAGCATGCTCACTAATTTTGTAGAAATCCCCTCGAATTATAGAATACTCCCCTAAGAAGCTGCAGACTTCCAATGCAGCAGAAGCACATGGCGCCACCGATATTTGGCGCTACATGAGTGTAGCAGAGCTAGCAAAGAAACTGGAGCGGCCTTTGGGTAAGTCGAAAATCAATGAAAATCGAATCTAATAATTCTAATAATGTGTCGTCTAAACACAGAGGATGTGCAGGAGGCAATGTTATATGTGCCTGGCGCGGACAACATCGAGGCAAACGCCAAGCTGGAGGATTTGAAGATCATTCAGAATATCGCAAAGAAGTTGGGCGCCAAAACGCGTGTTGTGGCCGCGCCAGAAGCAGACACTGAAGAAGAGCACAAGGATCGGGATGTTTTCCCCCGACCACCTGCTCCGCCAGAGCTGCTAAAACATCGCCCACCAGTGGTCACGGTGATGGGTCATGTGGATCATGGCAAAACGACGCTTTTGGATTCGCTGCGTGGGGCAGATGTCGCTGCTGGCGAGGCTGGTGGCATTACACAGCATATTGGCGCCTTCACTGTGACGCTGGAGAACGGCGAAAAGGTCACGTTCTTGGATACCCCTGGGCATGCGGCATTCAGTGCAATGCGAGCTCGTGGCGCCGTCGCCACTGACATAATTGTGCTCGTGGTGGCCGCCGAGGATGGTGTGATGGCACAAACAAGAGAGGTCATTCAGCTGGCCAAAGAGGCCGAGGTGCCCATAATCGTTGCGCTGAACAAGATTGACAAGCCCGAGGCGAATATTGTAAGGCTTTCCAAATAATCTACAGTGAATACGAATATATCAATTGAATCATTTTATATTTTAGGAGAAGAGCAAAACTGAACTGGCGCAAATGGGCTTGGCGCTGGAAGAGCATGGCGGAGATGTTCAGGTTATACCCATATCGGCACTCAAGGGAACCAACCTGGAGCTTTTGGCGGAAGCAGTTAGCACGCAGGCAACGCTAATGGGCCTTAAGGCAGATCCCACGGGTCTTGTCGAGGGCATTGTAGTTGAGTCCAAAACTGATCCACGCCGCGGCAAGTTATCCACTGCCATTGTGACGCGCGGCACATTGCGCAAGGGATCAGTGCTGCTGAGCGGGCTAGCGCATGCCAAAGTACGCGGCCTCTTCGATCACAATGGTGCGCCGCTAACAGAGGCCGCGCCCGGCACGCCTGTGGAAATACTGGGCTGGCGTGAGTTGCCGCTGGCTGGTGACCTGATACTCGAGGTGGAGACGGAGGTGAGCTATAGCTTTTGACACCATAACTGTTGAGCCTATGATAATTGTCACTCAATTCTACAGAAAAAAGCGCATGCGGTACTGAAATATCGGGAGCACCAGGCGCAACTGGCCAAAGTGGAGTCAAGCAGCGATGAAATTCGTAAAAAGGAAGAGGAGCATCAAGCAAAGTATCGTGCCGAACGCGAGGCTCGTCGCCTGGCCGGTCGCTTTAGGATGCGAGGGGGCCAAAGAGTGAAGCAGGTGGATAAAAACGACGACGTTCCACGCGTGAGCGTCATCGTCAAAGGTGATGTGCATGGATCTGTGGAAGCCATACTGGACGTGCTCGATACCTACAACAGCAACGATCGCTGCCGCCTCGACATCGTGCATTACGGCGTGGGCAATGTTACCGAAGGGGACCTTGAGCTGGCCAAAGCATTTAATGCCATAATTTATGCCTTTGCCGTGGAAACACCGCAGACCAAGGAGGCCAAAGATGTGAAGATTAAGAGCTACAATGTTATATATCGTCTGATTGATGATCTCAAGGAGCAGCTGAGCAGTCAACTGCCACCTGTGGAGGTGGAGGAGCAGCTCGGCGAAGCCAATGTGCTGCAGAACTTCATCATCAATGAGGGACGCAAAGAGGTTCCAGTGGCTGGTTGTCGCTGCACTAAGGGCGTTCTTAAGAAGGCACAAAGGTTTCGCTTGCTAAGAGACGGCGAGGTTATTTACGATGGAGCTTTGGAGTCGATGCGTCACTTGAAAAACGAGGTGGATTCCATTAAAAAGGATGTCGAGTGTGGCTTGCGCTTTAAGGATGCCAAGGTACTGCCGCAGCCGGGGGACGTAATACAATGCTACACCACGCATATGGAGGCGCAGAAAACGGATTGGGATCCTGGCTTCTAGTTAATTGCTGTTGAATAACTAATTTACATTGTTGCCGCTGCTTTTGTTATCGCCATTTCATACATATATATCTATAGTTTTGTATTATATATTGTGTATATAAAACAAATCCACTATACGACTTCCTGTTGATCTTAATGCTGCTCGGGCGCAGCCACTGCCACCCTTCACCCACATGCCGTGCGCTTAGGATAACGCCGCTGCCGCAGCGGAACTGCCGCCGATAAGAGTGTGACAGCGGCTACTGTGACGACGACGACGACGGCAGCGACAGCGACTGGCGCTGCGACAGAAGCCACTGCAGCTGCGTGCGCCCCTGGCTGTCCATGTGCACGCCATGACGGATGCTGTCTAAATGGGTCAAAGCAATGCTAATTGGAGTTAACCCACACCAAGGCAGAAAGAAACAGCATAGAAGCTGCCTCAGACCTAAGCGTATTCTCCTCATTCTGCTCTGATAAACGATTTCCGTTGGGGGTGGCCAATTAGCGCTTAGCTCCACATTTACTTATGAATGAGCTCTTTTTATTTAAACCACATCGCATATTAAATATTATACACATGCTTAATTTTATTTAATCGCGCCTCAATTCTTCCCTTGAAACTCGCCGAATGTTTTTTATTTTTATTTTTTGCGCTGCGACAAAGCTACTTATTAGCTAATGGAAAGAAACTTTCCCTCAGTGGCAAGCTGATAAAAAGTGAATATCTTTAGGCACTGCACTGTGTGCTAGAAGCACACAGAAAACGAAGCCCCCAACGCTGATATATATTTATATTTGCAAGAAATCTAGGCCTAATTAACCCCATTGCAAAGCTGTAATAATCTCCTAGAATATTCAAATTTTGAATTTAAATTTGACATTTATAATCTATGTAGTATACTTTTAGAATATCTCACATTCTCATTGAAGTTGGTTGTATATGATATGGGGAAAGTCCATCAAGTTGGATTTGCACTGTTAGAATGAATTTACATAGCCAATAATTTAACATTTATTTTAATTTAAAATATGTTAATTTTTAAAATTCTTTAATATTATAAGTAAGTTCAGCTCTATTAAGTCATAGTTAATTTGACTATTAAGTCAGTGTGCAGCAAACGTTTTCAAGCCGCAGCTGAAAATCGACCTACGATAAGCGAATCGTATCATACAGCTCCAAAATAAAACGCCGGAAACTGGGACTTGGATTAAGCTATTTTTGGTGACTGAGATTGTATACGGAAGTCGCCAAAGAGTGGAATGCGGAAATAATCAGCAGACAAAACGACCGAAATTGTTCCAGAATGAATAATTTATGAATGAGCTTGTACAATTAAAGCAACCCAGTAATAGATCCACTATAGACACTCGATATGTCCATGCAATGTCGTTGATGAATGCGCTGAATGAATTTGGCAGACTGCAACGATCGCCCAGCAGATCGTTTATCCTCCAAATCTATATATACATTTACATTAATTTGTCTGCATAGTTAAAACAATGAAAAAGAAGAGGACAAATCAGAGCGTAAACATGCACATGTGTTTAGCTGTAATTAACAAGAAATTACTACTGTATGTTGTATACACAGGCCTGTGTATATATATGTCTGTGGATGCATATTATGACAAGGATCGGCACCCTGCAAAGGACCCTCAGTTCCTAAAGGCCGACGACATGTGTTCGTCAGGCACGCTCATTAGGGGCGTCAAATGATCTTGGCTCTTGACTCCGACTCCGACTTCAATTTCAATTCCAACATGTGAGACAACAACGAAGCAGTAAATCACGGCTCTGCTGGCTACATTCAACATTAATACAAACACACGCTCACATACATGCATCCACACGTGCAACGCATGAAGATCAAAGTTGCAAAGTTGTTAAGAGAAAGAGAGAACCAGTTGGAAATGGAGAGCGAACCGCTCGCCCGACTGCTGATCAAAATGTGAGCCCAGTCGCTTGTGGGGGCTGTGAGCAGCCGGTTCAACGGAAAAAGGATCACACGAAATACAGCTGCATCAATCGAACGCTCAATAGCTTCACAAGCAATTTAAAGAGTATATATAGTTTGTATGTTTAAAAAAAGAAAAGAAAAAATCATAAGAAACGCTGCTCAGTAACTAACCTAAGAAGCCCTTTATCCAGTTTCGGGCTGATTAGAAAGAACACCAAAAGCAACGGAAGCACAAACCCGCTGATCAGAGCGCTATCGCTATAGTTGCCGACGCTCACGCTGACGCTGACGCAGACACAGACGCAGCCGTCGACGCTTCGACAACGCAGCGCAGACGACGCCTGGTGCTGCTTGTGGTGCTGCAACAGAATTAGAGCGATCTCGTCTCGTTCAGTTTGTGGCGTACGCTCTAGCCCTGCGGGTGTGCTGGTGATCGTGATCGTGTTGGAAGGACGCGTTGGCAAGGACGACGACGGCGCCTGTTTGAAAGCATCGCACGATTCCTTTTTGGCAATGCGCAAGCGCAAAGTGCAAACAAATGTTCGAGTGACAAGTGTGCAGCAAAAATAAAAATTAAAAAAAAAAAAAATAAAATTAAAACTCAAGTGATAAACATTTCAAGTGCTTGGCCAACGAAAGCAAACTTCTAAATATCTGTGCAAGCAATACATGAGGAGCAGCGCCAAACGCTGTCGATTACCATATAGATAGCACCAGCAGCGAAATGGATTTATCGAGGCGGTTGCGGTAAGCATCTGACAAATATGTATCTCATAGATACAATTGCCAGCCGCAGCATCGGCACCATCGGCAGAATCGGCAACGTCGGCAACGGCGGCAGCAGTTGGAGCGTGTTTGGCACGAAATTGATTCCTTTTGTGTTCGCCCACAAATTACAGTGTCAATGCGAATTTTAATTTCATTTGAACTACATGTGCAAACACTTGACTTGGCTCCTGACTGGCTGCCAGGCATCCTGCCTGACTGGCTGCCACTGATTGTCCTGCACATGTGTACGTTCAGTCTGTATCTGTGTGTGTGTGTGGGGGGGCGTTTGTGTTGGGAACGTGCTTCCTGTGCAACAGGCGTTGCGTTATTGACAGTACGCGACTGCCATTATCCTGGCCAACATTTTGTTTGCATGCCAAATTACATTGCCCGTTTAATTGAAGTTTGTTAATGAAAATTGCAACATTTTGCCAGCAATTTGAAAAGCATCCTTGGCCCCGTTCATTGTCACACCGAGCTCTGCGTAATTAGTGTGCCACTATTATCTTAATAGCTGTTCTCAAATGAGTAAATATTCCGCTTAAGAGCGAAGATTCAATCTGCCATTTGATAAATTATTTACGAGAATTTCTTTATTGTTTTCCATTTCGGGGAAAACTGTCATCCAAATGTTTATGTAGAAATGAGAAATGCCGGAATAGAGCAGATTATATTATATGAAATCATGCGATGCAAAGGATTTTATTATGCAAAGAAAATAGAACAAATTTTGTATGGAATGATCAAAGTTCTTCTGCTATCGATATTTCCGGTTAAGGTAGATTTCTGAAAAGCTTTTTTGCTCCATTACTGAATGTGAATCCACACGCTTCGTCCATTACCCGAGCCCGTGCGGGCAGCAATTTGGATTTTACCTTTGGGTTTGTTAGTTTTTCAAATTTGTGTGCGAACACAGAAATCAAATCAAAATTTCATATGGAAATGTAAATATTTATGTGTGTGCCCGGTGTGTGTAGGTGAAGTGCGTGCGCTTTGAAGTGCTCCCAAAAGCAGCCTCGCCAAAGAAACAAAAAATTAAGATGATGAAGAAGAAGAAGTCTGAATTGAAGTGAAACAGGCAACCAGAAATCATGTGCAAAGTCAGTTCAAAGTTGACTGCGACTCCGATGCTGCTGCTGCTGCTGTTGCTGCTGCCACTGATGGATCTTGATGGAGCTGAAGCAGTTGCTCTCACGCACACGACGCTGGACATCTATCTGTTGCGTGTGATCTGCAGCACTGTCTGCGTTTTATTTTTGGCTAAAGTCATAAAGTTGCCGACGTGGTGGCCAGCAGACATAAATGCCGAGAACTTGTTCCCCCATGCCAGACTCTAGCGCTGCGTCGCCTCTGGCCAGCTGGTAGTTAGCGCATCCATTCGTCAAGTATTTTAAAGTTTTTCGCGAAAAACACTGGGCTTGCCACTTGAAAAAAAAAAGAAAAGGAAAACGTTGCACGTTGTCAACGGCGAGGCCGCTTTTTTGTTATTTTTTTTTTTTTCTTTTTTGGTTCTCCCTCAATTCAATTTTGGTTTTTGTGGCTCTTTTGTTTTTCTGGCTTGCTTTGTTCCGCGAAATTGCGTCAGAATGTGGCCAACACATGACCTCTTTAGCGTTGACTTTGGCGGATGCGATAACGACACGTGTTCATCTATAGATTGAATCAAACTCTGCAGGAGCTGACATAAACAATATTCTTTGAATGATTGAATTCATATTTAGTTTTTCCAAATTTTATAAAAGAACTACCAGTTCGCTTTAATACAATGCAAAATGAAGGCAAAGTCGCATAAATAATTAAAAATCAGAGATATTCATTCAATACATTGTCAAGTGCTAGAAAGTCTGTCTGTTGATTTTCCATAAATATGTGATTAACAATTGACATATTGAAAATAAATTCATTTTCCATTTGATTCATTCAGATTTCTCATTCAAGTACTTTAGTATTTCTCGCCTTGAATGATTTGGGCGTAAGGCATTTGGCTATTCAGCTGGCCTATGCCTATGACTTGCGACCAACACCAAGTTGGGTCGGGTCAATAGACACTCTGTAGTTTAATGGTACAACCTAAACACTTTAAGAGCCTCGTCTATGTGTGGGGCTATTAACTGGTCATATAAGTAACTCAATTTCATTACACACAGCAAAATTTTGTGACTCGTGACGTCTTTGAACTTGACTTAGTTGTTGTTAATGGTGTTTGGTGTTGGAAAACGACAAGAAAGATTGTTATAAAGGTGTGTACGTATTGCATTTAACTGAAATGTTGATCTACTGAGTGAATAAAGCCAAAAATAAATTCTTGCCGATTGTGTAAATATATTCCAGTCCAGCTACATACATACGTGTTCATGCTGGTATTGTTTGTTATGC